CTCGCAGCAGCATAAGCATGTTCTGTCCTGCCGTTTCACCGCTGTCTTGAGGACGGTGGCAGCTGAGGTCGAAAGCAGAGCAAAGCAGCGTGTTTTAGCGAGGCCAAATGAGTGATTACCTCCAACTCCTGTCATAATTCACCATGACCTCAATCTGCCAGCGAAGCCTCTCCTTGACTGATCGCAGTTCAGGTGCTCTGCTCTGATGTTAAGTGTAGTTAGAGAGAATTGCCTTTATCTGTCGCCTGTGCAGGGCTCACAAATTTGATGTGCAATGCTAACGGTTCAGGTCGGCACTAGGGAGACCTAATTACATCTGTAATCAGTTTGCTAATGTGTTGAGTTGTCGATCTGCACCAAATCGTGTTCTTGTTGAAATAGGACATGAATGTGACACAGCTGTGACAATAAAAAATTACAGTATGTCTAAGTATAACATGTAAGCACAAAATAATTAGCTTGATTAGCTTTTTTGCTAATATAAGCAAGAACACAACTGGCTTTTAATGAAAGAACAATCTCTTTGTCAGCACATGAATGTAGAATAGCATGGTGACCTTCACCTGAAATAATTTCTTGAATCCAGCGTATGAATCACTGAGACACCTTGGTAACCCTTCTGCTGATCTAGGATCAGGAACCAGGGTGGAATTGCACTGCATATTTATTAGCACTCTGACAGCATTTGTGGCCCAGATTGTAATGCTAACAATAGTAAATACATGCACGTGTTACTCATGTTTCCCTCCTCGCCCTGGAACGAATGCAGAGTGTCAGCATTACAATCAAACGTCAGATAGTGTTTGCTGTTTTTAGACTTGCACCATCTGGCTGATCAGAGGGTGCGCAAAAGGAGGGGTAATATAAAGTTCAGTGATTGTGTGATCTGTGTGGTGAGCATGAATGCTAGCCATGAATGAACTAGCGTTCTGCCATGTTGAGATGCTGTTGTGCATCTGTGATGACTAGTAAAGTTTGAAACTCTAAGCATACTGTACATGAATGCAGATGTTTTTAGCTTTGCGACCTTGATTTTTGACTTCTGAAATGTGTAATTCATAAGGCAATGGAGCAATGGAAAGGATTTCATTGCAATGTGGCTGGAGCGTGCCTTAGCTTGAACATTGCTAAGACAAACAGAGATATCCTTTTCTAATACTAAAGTTCATAATTCTCATGTTGACATTCTGATTTCAGTTATCTTGATGTAATAACAAATCTTAATTTTAAAGGGGTCATGCAACTGAGAATCAAAATGTTCTTGATATTTACACATATGAGAGGCTACTCTGCAATAAATAACATACTGGAAGTATCAAAACTTAAAACTATAATATGAATGATTCTTTTCTACCCTTCTGAAAGCCCAAGATTTGAATTTAGGGATATCATGACATCATGATTTGATTTCCTTATATGTGACCCTGGATCACAAAACCAGTTATAATGGTAAATTTTTTTAAAATTGAGATTTATATGTTATATGGCCGAGATACAACTATTGGAAAATCCGGAATCTGAGGGTGCAAAAAAATCTAAATATTGAGAAAATCATCTTTAAAGTTGTCCAAATGAAGTTCTCTTAGCAATGCATATTACTAATCACAAATTAAATTTTGATATATTTACGGTAGGAAATTTACAAAATATCTTCATGGAGCATGATTTTTACTTAATATCCTAATGATTTTTGGAATAAAAGAAAAATCGATCATTTTGACCCATACAGTGTATTTTTGGCTATTGCTACACATATACCCCAGCGACTTATGACTGCACTTGTGCTCCAGAGTCACACATATGGTGTGTTCTGCACAATTCATGTTAGTTCATCAATCACAAGAGCGATACTGCCATCAGGTAACAAAATACCTTTTTTGCTGGAAAAAAAACTTGCAAGCTTTATAAACTAACCTTGAGAAACACAATATAAAAATCTAAATGCAAAATGCATTTCATGAGCATCATGACCTATGATCGGTGTAATACATAAGGGCTTATATACAGATGTTCTTTGTCACAAAGTGGTTTACTCTATATTAATTTCTCTATATTGTGATTATTCGATACACAAAAAGCGATCAAAGATCGCTCTCTTCATAATCGCTGGAGCAGTCGATTCAAGATCAGTGCAAGTCTATCAGTGATTTGATTTCTGAATTTTTGCCGAACAGAGTCTTATATTTACATCATGTTAGTTATGAGGAAAGTATTTGTGAGACTGCAGAAATCGCGTAGCAATAAGTAGATCATTGCACTGTTTTCACAGTAGACATGAATCAACTCTGTAATCCAAATGGATAGAAATGTAATATGCAATTCAAATACATGAATTTAAATATTTCTGCCTAGCACTTATACTGCGTATTTAGAGCTCAGAAAAGCTGGGCCATTGGAACGAGAGGAAGGGAACAGATAGAGTCTTGGCTTCCCGAGCCCCAGGTGGCCATCTTTCATCCTCCAGCCACCCTGTGAATGCTTTGGAGAGAGAGTCGATATCCTTGACATCTGCTCCCTCGCCCTGGGAGTCTGGCCACTGTCCTGTCCTGAGCGCCTGCAGTGGAGCGAAGAGCTCAGCTATTCTCAGCCTCCGACGCAGACACGCACACAAATACACGTGTCAGGTGTTAACAGTCTACCAGCACTGACAGCACACCACCAGCACATTCCCCCAACCGCTTCAACAGAAGAGCAATTGCAAAAATGAAAGGTTACGCAGGTTAGTTGGATTGGAAATATCACAGCCTGCCCATCTGCAAGGTGCGAGTCCTGGATATTCCAACTGCCTCGGATTCTCTTCGTCGCTTGGCCTCCAGAATGTTATCTTTGGGGAAATTAGGAAACCTAAGTAGTGGGTAAATTTCCTTAGTGTGTAGTGGGCCAACAAAGAAAAGCCTCGCTGCGGATCAATTGTGCAGTCAGGTAAGAAAGTGCCCAAAGGACGGTGAAGCAGGGAGTCTCCAAGAAAAACAAACCTGGTACGAGCACAAAGGAGAAAAATAACTTTTTTAGACTCTGCGATTCTAAGCCCTCAAACGCGCACTAGCCCGACTATATCTCTCGAACATTTCCAAGGCATTCGTAATCATTGAACAGCATGCATATGCTAGCTCACTTGGGTATTTCTAAGTCTCTAGCTGTGTACGCTGCAGAGGGGTGGTAATAGTAATATTGAGCGGTCATTAAGGTGGGAGGGAGGCCAAAACAGTTCTCGCTGCTGGGATGTGTGGTACATTGCACAACCTACGCACTGCTGAGCCCAGGCTTCTTTGTTGTTGATAAAGAAGTAGGAGTGTAAGTGTAGTTGAAGAATTAGATTCCGTTTGCATGTTCTTATCGGTGATCTAAGCTGTAGAGAGCAGAGGATGTGTGGAAAGGTTCGAGTGCTGACATGTGCATGTTAAAAAGTCCTGGAGTCCTGGATCTCAGCACATTCAGATACACATCTCGACACAAATGTGGGTGTATAGCTGTGAACGTTTCAGCGGAGTGGATGAAATTATGTTGCATTCCTCCGGCCCTTGGCCATCTGTGCCCATGTTTGTGCAATGATTAGGTTTAATCATATTCTGCGTTCTGTGTTGCTTTGGCAGCCGTGATTATGTGAGATCAATTTGCTAAAAAGAGCCCCTAAATGAAAACAATTCAAAGACATTATTGTGGCAGATATGTAAAAAAAAAGAGAGAAAATGTGTCCTTAGAATTTAGTATATTGTTTTTATTTCCAGATAATTTCCACATCACCGGCCTACGATCCACAACAATCCAATTTGTTTAAACAAAATGTAGAGTTTTGGAGCCATTCATACAAAATACCTTCTTCAACCTGCATACATTTTAATATTATTGGTCTATGTATGATTGAGTCATATGATACCTTGTGTTGCTGTTTTTTAAGAGTCCATGAGCATTGCATTTTAAAGTGTGCAGCATCAAGTTTAAATGCATTCTCAAGACCTGTGCATTGTGTTTTATTTTGTTAGGCTCTGTTTTATCTGTTTTTGACTCCAAGAACACATCCTATGTAAACAGCAAAGCTCATTAAAAGTTATTTCACCATAAAATGAATCTGATTGGTGGGCAGATTTGCTCGTTTGCTCCAATCCTGCACTCATTCCTTATAGTGAATACTGCATGGTGTGCTATATACACAGCCGGTTCACAAGCTCATTCATTAATTCATTATAGTGAATTCTGCATAGTGGAATAGAAAGTGATTTCACTGACACTGAAGAGAAAAACTAATGCTGTTTGATTTGGTTGTGTAAAGTTACCTCTGTTGGTCAATGATGCACTGCAGCCACATGTGTGTTTATTGTTTGTTTCGTGGTTGTAAAAGATTCAGTCCCCCTTAGAGTTACTAAGGGGTAGCTTTTTGTCATGCCTAATCAAGAGTATATCAGGGTATCTTGTTCTAGCTAATCAAAACAGCCTTTCCAGTTATTCTGTTTGGAGTAGCCTACTTTGCTTTTGGACAGAAGGTGATGATTTTATTGGTAGATGTTACATTTTAAAGACAATTTACCTCTTCTTAAAACTAACTTAATAATCAAATTTATTTTTACAAAAATGTATTTTCTTAAAGCTAACTTAAACAACATAAAACCAACAAAATAAAGTTTACATTTAAATCTTTAATCGTTTGCATTTCTGAAACAATATGTTGAACACCAAAGCTGTAACCTTCCCAAAAACAGACTAAATGTAAATGTAAACTAAGCAATTAGCTACATTAGCGAAAGCTAACTTACAATGCAAAGAAAGGGAAGTGGTTAATTTGTCCATCTAGAGCTTTTTTCACAAATTATGTGGTAAATTAAGACATTAATTTTCATATTTTCAAGAGAACACTACATCAGACTAAATGAGGCACAGAATAGAACTATTCCTTTAATCAAACTATGCTGAAAACATTAAACTCACATTCCTGCTTTATATTCATTTATTCCTGATGTGAAGCATTGTTTAAAATGCATTTATTTTGTCTCCTCTTGCTGCAGGACTGTTTCATCGTGCCATAATCCAGAGTGGCTCAGCATTGTCCAGCTGGGCCGTCAACTACCAGCCGGTTAAATACACAAGGATGCTGGCAGAGAAAGTGGGCTGTAATGTGCTGGACACACTTGACATGGTAGACTGCCTGAGAAAGAAGAGCGCTCGTGAGCTAGTGGAACAAGACATCCAGCCAGCGAGATACCACGTCGCCTTTGGCCCAGTCATTGACGGCGATGTCATTCCTGATGACCCTGAGATCCTGATGGAGCAGGGCGAGTTCCTCAACTATGACATCATGCTGGGTGTTAACCAGGGTGAGGGGCTGCGCTTTGTGGAGAACGTTGTGGACTCTGAAGATGGCGTCTCAGGCAATGATTTCGACTTCTCGGTCTCTGACTTTGTGGACAGTCTTTATGGTTACCCAGAGGGAAAGGATACCCTACGAGAAACCATTAAGTTCATGTACACGGACTGGGCAGATAGAGACAACCCTGAGACGCGCCGTAAGACTCTGGTGGCGCTTTTCACCGATCATCAGTGGGTGGAGCCCTCGGTGGTGACGGCAGATCTTCACGCCCGCTATGGGTCGCCCACGTACTTCTACGCCTTCTACCACCACTGCCAGAGCCTGATGAAGCCCGCTTGGTCAGATGCGGCCCACGGAGATGAGGTGCCCTATGTCTTTGGCATTCCCATGATTGGCCCGACTGACCTCTTCCCCTGCAACTTCTCCAAAAATGATGTCATGCTCAGTGCTGTTGTCATGACCTACTGGACAAACTTTGCCAAAACTGGGTAAGTGCCTAACTTACAACATGCAAAGTCTGGGGCATGGGCCATTATGTGATTGTGTGATGCACGATGGCAACTGATTTTTAATTGACAAATCCACGCTTATTTTCTTTACGTAACATTAGGCTAGAATGGGGCCCTGAAAAAAAAAGAAAAGAATTGTAAAAAAAAGAAATATATATATATATATATACAGAGTTCTGGCATGAAACTCTAGATGGCGCAGTTAAGCAAGAGTGCTGTTTTTCTAAAAATCTACATGAACATGATATTAATTTTATGCAACAGTTATTGAACTGTTTGTTACACTAGGAACAGCCCATGGTGGACAAAAAAAATGATGTTCTCTTGTTCAGAACAATATGCATCCTAATGTTGTCTTATTTACTGATATCTGTAACTCGACAAATTACTAGGCATTGTAATTACGTGTCTATGATGACACATAATTATTGTTTATTAGCAAGCTAGAGTGAAGATGACTAAACTCGCTTGCAAATTACAGCCAGTCATCTAATTATTAGCATAACTATTCATTCATATACAAATAAAAAAATGTCATTCATGCATGATTTGAAAAAAATATTTGCAATGCACATCATCATTCATCTTCTCTGTCCTATGTGATGCTGCTGTTGGTTGGACTGTGTGCGAAAATCCTGCATAGTGCATCTTTAATAGTTCTTAATGAGTTTAATCTCATTTAGTAATTATTGATTACTTAATATGTAGCAAACTCAGTCCTAAATTCGCTATTACTTACTGATTGGTTAGCTTAAGGTTGTACTACTCATTTGTCCTGCATTATTTCCTGCATAGTTACCTATTACTGATGGATCATTATTCTAAAGTGTTACTATTTTCTGTTTGAGAGATGAACTCCTTTTGGTGTGTATTTTGTGTTTTGTAACTTTGCAGATCATTTCCATGTGCAGACACACTAAAGGTCAAAAAAAAAAAAAAAAGCATAATAGGTGCCCTTTAATAAAAAAAAGTGTCATGGCCATTTAAATGAAACAAAAAAATTGGCAGGAATTACATTTATAAATTTGGTGAGTTTAATAAATTTACACCTCCTGCAGATCAGTTGCATTAAATACAAAATTCTGTCATCATCTACCCACATTCATGTAGCTCAAATACATATGATTTTTTCTTTACCATAGAACCAAACCTAAATTCGCTATTACTTACTGATTGGTTAGCTTAAGGTTGTACTACTCATTTGGCCTGCATTATTTCCTGCATAGTTACCTATTATTGATGGATCATTATTCTAAAGTGTTACTATTTTCTGTTTGAGAGATGAACTCCCTTTGGTGTGGATTTTGTGTTTTGTAACTTTGCAGATCATTTACATGTGCAGACACACTAAAGGTCAAATAAAAATTTTTTTTTTTAAAAAGCATAATAGGTGCCCTTTAATAGACAAAAGTGTCATGGCCATTTAAATGAAACAAAAAAATTGGCAGGAATTACATTTATAAATTTGGTGAGTTGAATAAATTTACACCTCCTGCAGATCAGTTGCATTAAATACAAAATTCTGTCATCATCTACCCACATTCATGTAGCTCAAATACATATGATTTTTTCTTTACCATAGAACCAAATGTTAAAGCTGCTCTTTTCCATGCGGTGATAATAGATGGTGATCAGGTGCACGACACCTCTGTGAATAGGTTTATTTTATACGATGTTTACTTAAAATTCAGAGGAATCACAAAATAAATATATAAATAAACAAATACACGAACGAATTAATGTCCAGATCATTCACTGACAAGGTTGTTAGTAGAAAACTGACACTATGAGTAGGTAACAAGTGTCAAGTCAAGTCACCTTTATTTATATAGCGCTTTTAATAATACAGATTGTGTCAAAGCAACTGTACAGCATTAATTAGGAAAATAGTGTGTCATTTAGGTTTATTTTATACCATGTTTACTTAAAATTCAGAGGAATCACAAAATAAATATATAAATAAACAAATACACGAACGAATGAATGTCCAGATCATTCACTGACAAGGTTGTTAGTAGAAAACTGACACTATGAGTAGGTAACAAGTGTCAAGTCAAGTCACCTTTATTTATATAGCGCTTTTAATAATACAGATTGTGTTAGAAACTTGTTAGTGTGTTATGTGTAAGCCAGGTTAAAGAGATTGGTCTTTAATCTAGATATAAACTGACAGAGTGTGTCTGCCTATTTATTATTCTGGATTATTACTCTGGATTATTCCAGAGTTTGGGCGCTAAATAGGAAAATGATCTGCCGCCCGCAGTTGATTTTTATATTCTAGGTATTATCAAATTGCCAGAGTTGGATGTTTAATAGGTAGCCAGTGCAGTGTTGACAGAACCGGGCTAATATGGTCATACTTCCTGGTTCTAGTAAGAACTCTAGCTGCTGCATTTTGGACCAGCTGGAGTTTGTTTATTAAGCGTGCAGAACAACCACCCAATAAAGCATTACAATAATCTAACCTTGAGGTCAGTGAACCTTGAAGTGTGGACGATTATCATCACTGATAATACCAAAATGTGAAATACCAGTCAGTAAATCAGCATGAACAGTATATTTGGGTGGAAAAAAAAGAAAGAAAAAAAACTTGCTACGTGTACTGTGTTAGGCTAACTGAGACTTGTCATAACACTTGTATATCATTGCTCTTTTGTTGATTTTGATTGCTTCTATTGTCCTCATTTGTAATTCGCTTTGGATAAAAGCGTCTGCTAAATGACTAAATGTAAATGTAAATATTTATGCACCACGAGTGTGCAATTGAAAGTACATGTACGGTGGGTAGCACTCATTGAGCATGTCTGTTTTTTGTTATCCGTGAGTAAAATCTGTTGCAGAATACTATAGTTTATAGCATACAGTATGAATGGGACTTGAGATGCCGTGCAGAGAGAATTATCAGTGGAACTTGTCGCATTTCTGCCCCTCAGCAATATCGATCAAAACCCCTCTCTTCAGTTGATCACTGCCGCCCCAGGTGACCGCATACTCAACAGCGCCTCCTCCCTCGCTCCCCCTTCTCCTTCCTGCTCAATCCTGCCCAGAGCACAAAGCATTATAGATCTGTATGAGGAGTGCTTGTAATCAGCTCTAACAACACAAATCTAATTTGACAACTGCTGTTACTGAGAAAAATTGATTGGTCATGCTGCTGCTTCTCCACTTTTACCAGTCACAATAAAAATGACACCCTATGACATTTATAAATCATTCTTTAACTGTTAAGTGCACACTAGGTGTAGCCAAAGATAACATACACAGAGTGGAAATGCTAATGGATGAGTACCGCATGCTGAATGCTCAAGTCAACATTCTGCAAGCATATCAGAGAACTTTTCAGAACAACATCTGTCCAGAAAATGTCAAATTAGCTCAAGGGCATGGGACATTTGTATGCTAAACACTGATTTTCCCCCACAGCGTAATCATTTTCTCAGTTAGACTGCCAGATTTTCTCAGTTTCTCAGCAAAACAGAAACAAAAATTGAAATTGTTTGGTGAGTGGATTTTGATGTATTTCCTATCTGCTCTGGGTTGACAATATAAATTAATCGATTGTAATCGATCCTCATTTTAAAGGGGTCATATGATGCGATTTCAATTTTTCCTTTCTCTTTGGAGTGTTACAAGCTCTTGGTACATAAAGAAGATCTGTAAAGTTGCAAAGACTAAAGTCTCAAATCCAAAGAGATATTCTTTATAAAAGTTAAGAGTTAACCACTCCTACCTAAAACGGCTCGTTCTAACACACCCCCACATACCTACGTCACGATCTCGGAAGATTTGCATAACGCTTCCCAAATGTTCACGCAAAGAGAGAAGGCATAACTTTTATTCTCGCTGTAGTATTGTTGACACTGCAGCCATGTCGTGAAGACGCTGTGTGCTTCGTTGTGAAAGCGAAACTACTTTGTTTGACCTTCCAAAAGAGGACGATATCTGCTTCGTCATGCCTAAAGGCGGGGCATAGAGGAGAAACAATAATGTACAGTATGTGGAAAATAATGTGTTTTTTAAACTTTAAACCGCATAAACACATTTCATTACATCAAATACACAAAATAATGTTCTTTTTAGCAGCATCATATGACCCCTTTAACAATCACAATCTTGTTTATTATATTCAATATTGTAACTTTTGATATGAGTCTGTCAAATTCTAATAGTCAATTATTAGCTATTGATTGAATGAATGAATGAATGAATTGCCTTATGTGCAATTTAAATGTTTAAATATATATTTGTAAATGTTTATTATAAAAATAAATTGCAATTTAATTTAATAGTTTGGTCATTTTAAATATTATATAGTAATGTACCAACTGACAGGGTTCCCTGTAGTTTATTCCCCATATTGTTCCCTCTGTACCTGATATATCCAAATGAATTGATAGCAAATCGAGTCAAGACCAGAATCAAAACTAATTGTGAAATCTGCACAAATACCCAGTCTTATTTCCGATACTGAAACAGGAAGTTAGGGAGGGACGCATTGAAGGGCTTATTTCTTTTTTTTTAAATAGCCAATAGTTTATGCCATGGATGAAAACAGTAAAGATGCATTCAAAACAAACCACTTGTTTTGGCACTTGATGGTTGGGAAAGGAAATAAAGCATGACACACCAACCACGACTTGCTACTTTCGATTACTTGTCGAAAACAGATGATATATTCAATTTAGAGGACATTCTCATTATAGAGAACATTTTATTGGACAAAAAATACAAACCTGCAAGATGATTCATCAATATTTATGGTCTGTTTTGTCATAACAGAAAGACTATAAATTGTAAATGTGTACATGTTTATCCAAGTTTGTCCATTTTTGGTCTGATTTGTCATAACACAAAGACTATAAATTGTAAATGTGTATATCTGTTCATCTATTAAGTTTGCCCCTTTTAATTTGAATTCAATCGATGGCTTGAAGATATTTTTATGCAAAGGCACAAAACCATGTTCTACCTAGCTTTAA